ATGCAGCACTTCATTTACTTGTTCAGCAATGATGCTATTTAAAAAAAAAAAAAGAAAGAAAGAAATGGATCCTCAGAAAGGTTGGATAACTAGTACTCATAATCACACAGTCAGTAAGCAGTGGAGTGGAAATTCAGGCCCTGCTCTGTGTGACTCCAACGCTTTCATTCTACTCAGCTTTAAGGAATAGTTCCAATGAGCTGAAATAGCCAGGGGAAACTTCCTGGAGGAGGTGGAAATTGACCTAGATTTTGAAGGATGAGTTTTTGTTGATATGGAGTCTTTGCAACTCATAGTATCCCTGTAAAGGGTTTCCAAGGAGTGGCTGATGCTTTTCCTACATTGTAGAATGGGTAGGATGCAGATGACCCCAAGGAAGTAGAAAATGAAAGCATTTCAGGCACACTGACATATCTAATTGACTCAGAGGCAAGTTAGAGGCGGGACTTGCCGATAGACTTGCTGGATGGGAGCAGAGGTTTCATGGCCTGGCAAAGCAGATTAAGTCAGGGAGATAGGGTGGGGCCAAATGACAGCCCGCATCAGAGCTTCCTCTTCCAGGAGAGAGTCTGACTCTTGGCCTGTCCATGTTTCTATCAAAACACCCCACTCTCACACCCAGGTAATCTACTCCCATCTAATCCTTCTTCCACCTTACCTTGTGTCCACACACACTCTCCCTCAACACTGGGAAGGTCATTTTTCTCCTCCAGAACTTACCTGCTATCATAGCTTCCACTGGTCCGGCAACATGCTTTTATGCACGTTAACATTCCTTTGTGAGTCTTTCTCTTTAAGTTTCAACCTTTTCCAAAACTGGGGCGAATCTTCTTCTAATTCTAAGTCAGTCCTGAAGTGCTACCTCTTCAATGAACCCTCAGATACCATATAGGTGATGAGGGGTATTTACATGGAATTTCTGAATTTGTAACAATATGGAAACACACTGTGATTAATACTTCTGCTGCTACTGTGTGTCAGTTACAAATCATAGTGATCCTGTATGGGGTTTCCAGAGTGTGTGGATTGTTGCTTCGAACTGCCAGTCTAGTAGTTAGCAGTCCAGTTCTTATCCTACAGTGCCACGCCAGGACTCCGATTAATACTTCTGTTGTTGTTGTTGTTAAGCGCCGTAGAGTCGGATCCGACCCATAGAGACCCTACACAGGGTTTCCGAAGAGCAACTGGTGAGCTTGAATCACCGACTTTGCAGTTCAAACGGCTTTGCAGTCTGGGGCATTAACCCACAGCGACCCACCTTCAATTTGAGATTTGTATGGCTTCACAATTGTTGAAACTTCAGGAAACTGTACCCGCAGAATCTCCCAAGCATGAAACGTTCCTAGGGAATCCCTTGACTTGCACAGAGCAGGTGGTCAATACTGCGTGACTTCATATAAGCTCCCTCCCCAAAGAAAACGCACCCTTATCTACTGGAAATAATTCAACACTGTGGCCAGAACTTGCTGAGCACTCCTAGTACGGAAACCTCAACGAGGCAATGAAAAACAGTTTTGGCGACAATGGAAAATAAGGCAACCTCCTGCCAAGTTAGTACTTTGCAAAGACAGTAAAAACGGAAAGTATGAACTCGTGACTAGGGTCTATTGGTGCATCTCGGGAAGGTCTCACAGAAGCAGAAATGGAGACTCTCGGACTGTCACGCGTCTCCGAGAAGAGCGTCCCTTTAAGAATAGACTGGACCAGCTGGCCGCACTACAGCTCCCAGAGATTTCCTGGCTTGACTCTTGGCCCCACCCCCTAGCTTTCGGCCTCAGCAACGCGTGACATCATAAGAGTCTGAAGATGTGGATTGGCTGAACGACGCAGCTAGGTCAAGTCCAGTCAGAGGAAAGAAGTTTGTCTCCATGTGGAAACCATGTGTCTCTAGCTGGGAGGGGGAGGAGGAGGAGGCGGAGAAACTGAGATCAAGTGATTATAGGGGAACTGGCTGAAATGAAGGCGGGGAGGTTGTGCACCTGAGCCGGTCAGCATGCCTTTTACAGTAGTGACCTAAAAAACTTGCACAGCAAATAAACCTGAGGCGCTTTCCCTTATGTTAATAATAATAATTTAAAATCTAGGGTCCCCGTTTGCTTCCAAAAACTAGGAACCTGGGTAAGGATTGAATCCTATCGGAACGCCCAGATCCCTCTCCCTCCCCCAACGAGTGAATGATGTAAGCGTTTCGAAAAGCGGGGCTCTGAAGCAAAACAAGCCCCGCGCGCGCTGAGCGACCCGCAGTGCCCGAGCCCGGCGCACGCACGACCCGCCCCCGACTCGCGTTATTGCTGTGCACACGCGGGCCGCCGTGACGCGCGGGCATTGTGTGCAAGAAGCAGAAAACAACGGCGATCGCCGCTGGCGCGAGAAGCGCCCCCAATAAAATCAGATTAACGAAGGGCCCTAGATTCCCGTCTTGGAAACTCAGACCCGGGTGGGAGGCAAAAAAGTGGGGAGAAGAAATCGGTGGGTTGCTTCTGTTTGCAGGAGGGGAGGAAGTAATGGAAGGCCCCACAGTGGTCGCACGGAGTTTGCTGGAGCGCCCCCCGGCCTGCGGGAGGTGGCGAGGGCCTGAAACGGAGTCCCCCAGCTAAGCCAGGCACGGTGCAGCGCCCCACAAGCGCGGGGAAATCTGGGGGTCGTTGGCATCACGTCATGCAGAGCCAAACAGCGGCTACAAAAAGAGGCGAGAGAGCTAAAAATACTCCCGCGGGGAGCCGGCTGCAGAAGGGGGGTGGGGGCTGAGGGCTGATTACGCACACGAAGTTGACTTTGGCTGGGGCGCTAGGGCGCCGGAGACCCTCTGGGAGCGGGAGGAGAGGGCTCGGTGCTTGCAGTACAGAAGCCTCGAGAGAGGGGCTGAGAGGAAACCCCTTAGCTTTCCCGGCCGCGGGAGCCCGGCTCCACCACCACTGGCCCGCCCCGCGCGGGGCCCTCTGCTTACGTGACTGGCGGCCACGCCGGAGCCCCGGCACGGGGTAAACAAGGAGGTGGTGGCGGCCGGGGGGGGGGGGGAGTTGGTGGTGGAGGGGGTGGAATCTCCGATTGTCTGCGGGACGCAGAGGAAGCTTGGGCCGCTCCCTCAGTACCTCGCGGACGGGGGAAGGGTACAAACCAGGCTCGTCAAACGCTGCCAAGGTGCCCTCTTGGGTTCATCACGCCCCACCAGAGCCAGCACCTCGGAACAGACTCGGGAGAACTGGGGGCCGGGTGGGGGTGGATGGTAGCTAAAGAAATAGCGCCCCTCCCCCCGCCAACAAAAGCAAACAAACCAAACAAAACCAGGTCCTCATGCAGCTCCCCACCAGCTTCTCAGAAACTACCCCCAGACGAATGCACACACAAATACACACACACCCACGGATAATCGCAAAACCATTCTGCCACACAGCCCGCGATGCGCCTAGCTCGCAACCCAGGCACTCCTGGAAAACAAGCGAGAAGAGAAAGAAAAGAACACAGCATCGACAACCCAGCACAAACCCTTGTATTTTGCTTTCCAGCGTCTGCACAATTGCCTGCCAACACTCGGTTAATTTAATTCTGGTGGCCGGGGGTGCTTTTGTAGGTTTGCGAGTTGTTGCTGCTGTGTGTGTTGTGTGTGTGTGTGTGTGTGTGTG